TCATCTGCGAGATCAAGTGCATGAAGTTGGAGCAGAACGACTGCGATAAACATGCCTGTGGAATGATTCAAGAAAAGGAACCCATCACACGAAGCCGTGGAAAATTTCTCCAAATTTTCAACTCGGTGATTACTATGCGAATAAATCACACTAAGTATGCACCACATAGGATTAATGACTCCTGCGACAGTCGTATTCTCTAACGTGTACTACCAACCAAAACGTCGCGTAGCTTCGTTGATCGCATTTCGTTTCCCTGATTGGTTTTTCAATTGACAGAGATAAAACTCTTTCTAAAGGCATGTCAGTTATTTGTGTCAATGCGGCATGTCTACGTTTTTACTTTGCATGTCAAAGTTCTAAATTTTAATAACGTATACAATAATCGGGTTCGGAATTGCAGTGCACACGTTAGGGTAGACACATCAAAATGGTGTTCAAAAGTGTTAATTGACTCCAAGAATTTAGTTAGAACCTGCAGTTAAGCGGCAGGAAAAACCTGAAACACAGTAAACGCTTTAATATCACCTCATGAATCGGTGTTTTACCAAGTAAGAATGAAAAAAAGAGTGGAGTAAATAAATTTCAGGTAATAAAAAATAGTTTTTTGTTAAAATATTAAACCGAGGAATTGTGTAGTCATTTTTCTTTCCTTTAGCTTAGGCGTAAAAATAGTGAATAGACGGGGGAAAGAACAATTCAATCTTGGGACATCATAAAGCATATTTCTTCATAAGAGATTTTCAAGGACCACTCCAGCTGTAGCAAGGGCGTACCGTAACCCCTTGGCGTTTCATGTCATAGGGTCTGCTATTTGAAATCAATGTTCTTTGGGTCCGCCGAAATAGTAATCTTGCAATATGCATTTGTTTATTCTGAGGAAAATATCATGGATCATTGTTGAAAATGGTTTCAGCTGTCTTCGACAAATTTACTTCAGTGAATCACCATCTCCTGACGTCTTTTACGATTTTGCCAAGAGTTACGATCTTGTTCATCGAATCTGCATATATTTAACACGGAGAAATCATTTTCTACACATAGCTGCAGCACGGATTTGGGACGAAATGCGCTATTGTGCATTATTAACTTAAACACGAAATTAGGCTGTTTCGTAGATGCTCTAAATAATTTAGGAACTTCCTACATTTTGTTTTCTTAGCCCCGGTTACTAGGTCAAGTTACATCAAAAATGGAAGACTTATGTCAAATTAACTCATCTTTAAACTGCTAAGTTTAATTTTTTTATAACTTCAAGTTGTTTATTAACTTTGGGTAATTGCATTTCACTGTTTGTTAACAAATATCCAGGTCAGTCAGTACCAAAGACGAATCAATTTTAAAGCGTTGACATCATGTAAACACTCAAGCTCTCTAAACAAAACAAATTATTGCATGTACTCAGAGCAAATTTTTCTAACATTATGAGACATAATAATAGTACAAAACGTAAAACAGGGAATTGTATACCAAGAATCCATCGATACACAATTTTAGTAATGAGTGAAGACGTCTGGAAATAATGCTTAATTTCTGCAGAGAGGTTCCAGGCAATAATGTTTGATTTATCAATAAAATTTTATTTACCTTTATATGTTTTTCGTGGCAGGAAAAAAAACAGCACAAATAATGAAATTTAGTTGATAAAACAGATAATGCATTTGAAAATATACAAATAATAATCGATTTTTTCTGGACTTTTATTTACCGGCATTTTACTTGTAAAAAATTTATATTTGTGATTTTTGCAACTTGTAAGTACTAGTAAATATTTCTTTAATTTACTTTACGCATTTCTACATTTCACTAAATGATGTTGTCATTACTATCCACTGCCTTTCGAGCCTAGTTGACATAATTGGCCTGTGGGTGTAGCTTGCACTAATGTATGAATTCCGGTCTCCTTTAGTTGGCCTGGACAGACTGGCCAAAATCGGTGTTGATCGTGCCAGCACCTTGTTTAAAAAACTGAATGAAATATCAACGTTATTTAAAGAAGTTACGCCATTCGAAAATCTTAGTTCTCTGGAGCACTTTTTCGAATCTGACGACTTCTCGCACTTTGACGAAGTGAATACTTTTTATGGAAAAATTTTATGTTGTCCTGTTTCAAAACGACTGCTAAGGCTGTTCATGAGACGCAATAGAACCCTTCAAGCTATGTGTGCCTTCCACCTCTCAAAACTACCTGAATCGGTTTTTTCTATCGAGAATCTCATAACTCTCCCCAGAAACGTGTTTTTGGATGTCATCTTAAGCGTAAGCTACTCTTCTTTTTAGAAGTTTTTTTTTTAGAATTTTATGGTATTTTGGCTTCCAATGACACATATTGCTTTCTTCTCTCTCCCTGGTGCCGCCGACAGCTTTAAGACAATTTTGGCCTTTTTATCTGACTTGCGCATTTTTGAGGTTTTTTATGATTCATTCAGGTAAGCTGGGCGCATTTTATTAGCCTATTGTTACATAGGGACTCTCAGCTTTTCATCTATTCGTGGATACAGCACTCGTGTACCCATGCACCCATTATCGACGAAAATAGTAGGTTTTCGTTTTAATTGTGATCACACATTAATATTTTCTTTAATACATAAGGAGGTACACAATTCATCCTTTCACCTTTAGCATTTTTTACACCACCATCAAATTCAACTCCTCCCCTTGGCAAGCCGCATGAGATTTCACGTCTCCTAGTCGCCAATGTCAAAGACGCACTGAAAAAGTGTTCTAATGAGCTCCTTCCTCTCCAACGGGCCGTTACAGTTGGCCTTAAAGTGGGCAATTTTCTAAACGATTCCTCAGAATACACTTACGGATTCGATGCTGCCTGCGCCACCTACAAGGCTGCCCGCGCATTTTCGCGTGCCAATCCAGACACTGAAACCACAACTATACGTTGGGAATATGAGGCCGTTTGCATGTGAGCAGTCGTTCATTTACCTTACCTAAGATGCGTCATATATTATTCCAGCTTTTTACTAAGACTTTGAAATTTTGTACATCTGCTTTTGAAGCGTTCTGTTTTCAAGCATCGTATTCCCTTTCATGCACAATCAGTTATTATTCAGTTTAAGACGCGACGAATTTCACGCCAAGGTTAATGAAAGTCTGTTTTCTGTCGTGCTGAATTGGACTACAGCTTAGATTGCGAGGTCTAAAGCGAGTAGTTCAAATGAAAAAATAAATCACCCAACCACCAGATTCACTTGTTTTCCCGATAGCCCACAACAACCCTCTTTGTAATTGTCAAAAGCAGATTTTAAAGGTCTTTTATGACACCCATTAGTAGCAATGGGCCTAAAGAGTAGGATATTTGATATGCCTTAGAAAACTGTGATTTTGTAATTATTCAAATAGTTTGTTCGTCATTTGGTGTAAGTGGAATTAACGGTATTCCCGGCATCTTTAAGCCACCTTTTAAATCCGCAGTATTTCCGTACATCACTCGCCTCCTTTCTGATACTAATTCAGCCCTCTGCATCACTTATAGTCTTTCCTGTTGCTGTTGTTGACCTGTAATTTTAGGCGTTACGTGATCCCCTCATGCAACTTAGTCTCTTTAAATGCGAGATTTCTCCTGCATTAGCGATGAAGTTTTGGTGGATGGGGTTGTCGTAAGCTGCCTTCATTCCTTGTAGCATGCTGCGTTCGATGAACTCTCACAACATGTACCTACAACCGGAGCATCGACGGGTATTCCACAAGAACGTGCCCGAGGTTCTGCGTCGCATCAATACCCTAGGCCTGAGTGCTGCTCCATCGATTGAGTGTGAGGCACGTTTACTGGCCTCTCTGCCACCTGACCACCAGGTCCAGCAGCAGGCATCATCATCCAGTCCCTTGGAAACGACCTTCTCACTCGACGCCATGACAACGGTCTTTCTTGTCTCCACAACCTCTCCTAACAACTGGCACGAGTCCTCATTTGCCAGCCTACTCGATGACGAGATACCATCAGATTGGGTAAGCCTTTCCTTCCCCCTTCCACCTAAAGCATCTCTCATCCAAAATGTCATTGTCGGTGCTTGTGTCGGCGCGGATTTTTGTGTCTACACAAAATCGGTGCCCAGTCAGTTGCTTTCACACGGTTCTTCATCCCATCTAGCCTAAACGACAGCCATCAGACATCGACGTCAAGCTGTCCGAGGTGTGCGAAGGTCTGCAGCCACTGAACCTGGCGACTACGCCAATGAAGCCACAACCGGATCCGTCGACAGCGTCGCCGCCCATTTGCACGGCGTTCGCTCATGCCCAGCTGGCAATTTACCACTACGTTATGTGCAACTATCCCCTCGCTTACCAGCTGACCTCGCTGGCCGTTGACCAAATCAACGCCTTCACCTGTTCCCCCAGAGTTGTCGTAGAGGTCCTTCGAATCGCCTGTCGCATCTGCATTATCCAACGGAAGTACGATCTAGGCTTGCGATTCATCCAATCGGCTGCTCACTTAGTTAGGCAGCACTTTGGCAGGCACAACGTGATCTATGCAAACTTGCTTCTCGACTACGGCTGTCTCCTCTTGAATACAGACAAAACCGGCATTGCGGCTGACGTTTATCGTGTAAGCCCATTCCCTTGTTAATTTGCCCCACTCTGTTGCAATTTGTCTTCCACATTTCAAGGTGCCTGATGTGATGAAACACAAATAGCGTTATTGATTTGCATTTTTGCCTAATATTACGTAGCTATTTTTGTATTCTGGCAGCGGTTCCAACGACAGTAAGGAAATAGGTTTTTTTAAAAAATCCGGTAAAAACCATTATGTGAGTTTGCGGTTCTCAGTCTAACTTCTAACTTACAATTCCCAGGTAACCTTGCAAGGTCGATTCTGTGAGGCTGCGAATGCGTGTTAAAAATTCCGTCGTATTTGAAATACCTGGACACGTAGGGGACTATGCGAAAGTGCGTTTGTTATTGCCACAATTACATCTGCGTGCAGTTGGGATCTTGCATAACGCATTAATTTTTGCGCGCGCATAGTTACTGAATGTGGACAGATGTGTTGCTAGGCTGGTTCTTATGGAAATATGATATTGCTCTTTCCAATTGTTCGGTTTGAATTTAGTAATTTTTGAGCCTGATTGAAGTTGAGCCTTAGAACATGTCTAGCACCTGTTTACACGAAATATCACTCTTTAATGAACTCAGTCCCACTTAAGCTGACCTTGCACTATTACCAGAGATGATCAATCCGAATTTGACCCACAACTGGTGGCCAAATGTGTGGCATTGTTGATTGTTGATGCGTGGGTTAGTTCTTGAAGTGTTGTATGTGAAAGTGAAGCAGAATCGGCTTGCGTGAATTTCGGTCCGTGCTGTAGTTCCACCAACAGCGCTACTTCCGCCACTGCAACCATCACCGCCACTACACCGATATTACCAGTTCATGTAATATCCTCACCACCGCCACCACCACTGCCACCACCATCACCACCGCCACCACCACTGCCACCACCATCACCACTGCCACCACCATCACCGCCACCACCACCACCGCCACCACCATCACCGCCGCCGCCACCACCGCGACCAACATCACCACCACCGGCAACTCCACCAACGTCACCACCACCGCCAACACCACCGTCACCACCGCCGCCACCAGAATCGGCTTGCGTGAATTTCGGTCCGTGCTGTAGTTCCACCAACACCACCAACAGCGCTACTACCGCCACCAACACCACCACCGCCACCAACACCACCACCACCGCGATCAACATCACCACCACCGGCAACTCCACCGTCACCACCACCACCGCCAACACCACTACCACCACCAAAGATGTGTCTTGCTTTCGTAGTTGGCACTCACCCTGATCATCGACTGTCTTCCTGGAGCCAGTGTAATCGCAGCTCTCGCCCTGGAGGACATCGCCTACGCCTACTACGTGCTGGAGTACACCTCGGGGGAATTCAGCTACCCCCTCGAGTGCTCTGAAGTCGCAAACCAGCTCCTCCAACGCCTTGATCACTCGTCGTGCATGCAGGCCGCCTCCGCTAACCGCGTCAGAGGTCTGTGTGTGTGTGTGTGCGTGTGTGTGTGCGTGGGTCTGAGCTTTACATTGTCCGTTGTTGGTCTCCCCTAGTGTACAAATACTGTTTACGGTGTGAATAGAATGTGATTCAGTAAAAATAGAAAACTAGCGGGTTTCGTTGGATTTCATCGAGTTTGTAGCCGAGGCTGTGAAGTTGGTTATTGTCTTCACTTAGCTCTCATACTGGAAGAGATCGCGATCGATGACAGTGATCGTGACAGGACGCGAAACTACCTCTACGTCGCTCGTGACCTGCACTTGATTTCCTTGGATCTCTGCCAGCGGGTGAGTCACTGCTCTGTTTTGAACTGATCCACTGTGCTTGCATAATCCTTGATCTCAAATTGTGTTGCTAGGTCGCATACAAGTGTTGTTAATTATCATTGGCGCCTCTTTATTGCTTGGTTGTTGGAATGACAACGGTATTAAGTTGGGTTTTGCTAACCGACGTTCTAGAGGCTTTCGTGTGACGATGGTTCCATGTCTTCCTCTGTAGATCTTCGGCATATGGAACATCCAGACCGCCAAGCACTTCGGCAACCTCGGTCGCCTTTTTCAATCTCTCGATCAAAATTTGGTAGGCATATTGTGCGCCGAGATGACACTGCGCGCGGTCAAACCGTGACCACTGCACCTGTTCTGGATTCTTTTTTGCAAGTTTTAAATACTTTTGCCTGGGGGACGTTGTGATTGGCGGTGAGTTGGCAGGCGCGCACGTAGTCACTTCGTGTCCAATGCGGCTGTAATGGCAGTCTGGCCGATTTTAGATCACGTAATGTAATGTCATTTCCTTGGATTTCAGTGCTGCGTGCGGTCCTATCATTGTGATGTTCTATTTTGAAGCTAAACTTGTACGCGTCTGTACTGAAAATTTGGAACTTGGAATCAAAGATGTATTCTCGAATCTACCATCAGTTGTTTCAACATCTACCTGAAATATAGAACGGAGACAAGGAATTCGAAAAGGCGAACGACCGATGGAATCAATGTTCCATGGCTTCGTGTGATCGATTCCTTTTCTTGAATCATTCCACAGGCATGTTTATCGCAGTCGTTCTGCTCCAACTTCATGCACTTGATCTCGCAGATGATCTGCGGGGCAATTGTTAAGCGTGATTAAATTGCACATCAACTCACCACTTGACGACAATCACGTGACATTGGCCGTCATCTTGTGGCCACCAGAACCTACCATTTGCGTTGTACTACTGTCGGATCATATGTTGGTGTGTTTGCGTGTCTCGTTATTGCCGATTAACAAAAAAAAATTCAACGAATTCCGATAGTGCTTGTCTTTGTGTGGTTCGCCTGTTAAAACGAATCTTGTGTAGCTGTTCGGCGCCCAAAACAGGGAAATGTTGCAACGAATGTGGTGTTGAATGTGTTGGTTACGGTGTTTTGTTGTCGCTGATTGGTGCTACCAAGGAATTTTATTGGTCCTAACCGAGAACATCGCCGTTTTATTGAACGCCTTGCTCTTCCGATCCAGCATTTTCCGAATGATTTCGCGGACTTGGAGGTGTTGTGTCAGATGTTTCCATCACGGATGGATCTTGCCCTGCGTCTGCCACTCCTTGTTCGATTGACAAAATGTGCACTACGACAGGCACAGGTCTGGAGGCAGACGACACAAATGGCAGCGATGCAAGTGGCACCGTTCCCTCGCTATCGTGAAGAGGGGTAGATATCGTAATTCAGTAGACGCAATACCCACCAGCCCAGTGATGCTATTTGCTGGTTGCGGTTCAACAGTTTCCTCACATGTGGCATGTCATGTGTTTGCTGCGTGCATTTGATAGGAACCAAGGAATGCCGTGTGTCGATAGTGACGCGACTCCAGCTTCGTGCCAGACTAAGAATGATCACGGGATGCACTGTCGACGGGGCGGTTTCTCTTGAAGTGTTGTGGAGGTTGGAAGCCAAGATCGGCGTTAGTTACTTTGTCGCGTGTCTAGCTGCAACACTCCTGGACCGCTGCTGATGAATGGATCATCCATTTTTGTGATGTTGCGTTTTGCTCATTCGAAAGACTTGTGGAATCCAACACGGTTTCTATGAAGTGTTTTCATGTTGCAGACACTTTGGCGAACATGCATGGTAGATCTGTGCTTGTTGGTTTTGCGTAAACCGTTTTTGCACATCTGGTTAATCTGTATGAGGTGCTGTGTTGGAGTAATTACGGGGTTAAATCGCTCCAGGATTTCTTCCTGATTTCAGTGACTCCGCCAGGCCTCAACCCGAGATCACTTAAGTTTATTTGAAAGGCTCACTGACTTGTCGAATCAGATTTCAGCGTGTTGAGCTATTTGGGAGACATTTCATCGCGTCGGGTTCACCAAATGTTGTTGGTACACTGATTTGGCTCTGGCCCGATTACTCTCATCGGTTACCCGTGATGGAGAAACAGATGGAAGAGGACGTGGACACAACCGTTTATTTTAGAGCCCATCCACGATG